GAAAACAATAGTGGAGGCTTTTAATGAAAGTTTTGAAACAAAAATGTTATCAAACTCACAGAGACAGGGGGTAATTACACTAATTGAGAAAGAAGGCAAAGACCCTTTGTACATGAAAAACTATAGGCCAATTACTCTCTTAAATGTAGATTATAAAATATTGTCGAAAGTATTAGCTACAAGGGTAAAGGAGGTATTGGAGGATATTATTCATTACGATCAGGTGGGCTATGTTAAAGATCGGAATATTGGGGAAGCGGTTCGGTTAATTGATGATACATTCTTTCAGTCCTTGTATCAACCTGTAGGCTTTTTAATTGCCGTAGATTTTGAAAAGGCTTTCGATTGCATTTCCCATAAACTTTTATTTAAAGCTTTGGAACAGTTTGGGTTTGGTAAAGTTTTGTGTTCTTGGGTTAAAACCCTCTACACTAATGTTAGCAGTTGCGTGATGAACGGGGGACACTCAACAGGATATTTTGGAATTAATAGAGGGGTAAGACAAGGCGACCCCCTATCTCCATATTTATTTGTAATAGTTATCGAATTACTAGCTCGTTATATTAGGAAAGATGAGAGCATTAAAGGGGTAGGATTCGGGAATAAAAAATAAAGCAAGTTTTGTATGCAGATGATATTACATTGTTTTTAAAAGATATGGATTCAATTAATAAAGTGAAGAAAGTTTTCAAAAACTTGGATTGAAGATAAATATGGATAAGACAAATTTTATGTGGTTAGGAGAGGAAAGTGATAGGCCGGGTTTACCCTTTTTTGGACATAGGGTACAACATATACAGATCCTAGGGGTATATTTCGCACGTCATTCCAAAATAAAAGATGATTTGAACTATAAGGAAATTTTGAGCAAAATCAAAAGACTAATCGGTTGGTGGAAGCAACGAGATTTAACGATGTTTGGCAAAATTAAATTGTTGAAGATATATGTATTTTCAAAACTAAATTATGTTTCGTCTCTTATGACAGTCCCACAAAACATTTTTGAAGAAATCGAAAAGATTTCTTTTAATTTTATTTGGGGAGGGAGAGACAGAATAAAACGGAAAATATTATATCAAGATTACTGCGCTGGAGGACTCAGAGTAACGAATTTTAAGATATTTATCAAGACTCAGAGAATAATGTGGATCAAACGGTTGCTCTATGGAGAAAAGTATTCAGGTTGGAAAGTAACCTTTGACCACTTTTTCAGATCACTGGGGGGTCGAATTATATTTCTTTGTAATTATGATATAAATAAAATGGACTTGAAGGGTATACCATCTTTTTATAAAGACATGTTGAAGGCATGGCAAGAATTAGATAAATGCAGACACTTTGGAAAAAATAAGAAAAATCCGATTATATTTAGCAATAAGTGTATATGTCTCAGCAATAAAACATTTTTTGATGTCGAACTATTTCAGAAAGGTATACTTCAAGCATCCGATATAATTGTCAGAGGTCATTTAAAACCGATCTTACATTTTTTAAATTTGGGTTTTGCAACTAAAAGCTTGCTTAGAATTCAAAAGATCTTTTCAGCAATCAGAAACGAATGGATACAAAGTGATTTTATGGAAGTGGACATTGAAAATTTTGAAATAGAATTGATGATATATGGACGTTTACAGAAACTATGTGATATAAAATCTAGGCGGTTATATGATTACTTCATTGAAGACCTTCAAAAAAGTATACATTACATGTTACAGATGGCAACTGTCAATTTGATCTTGGAATGACGGAGTTGAAAGAAACATTCACAAGGATGAAAGGTGCAATGCTTTGTAATAAACATAGAGAGTTTCAATACAAACAACTACAAGGGGCTGTATATACGAAAAGAGAGCTCTTTAAATTTGGTTTTGAGTCAGACCATTTTTGTTCCCTTTGTGGACTAGAAGTAGAGACATACCAACATTTATTTTTAGATTGTCTTAAAGTTAAAAGATTATGGCAGGAGGTAATTCAAAAGTTACATTTAATCGAAATTGACATTGATGATTGGAAACCCATATTTATGGGAATATCCGGAAATACTACTAGAATATTTGTAATAAATTGTATCATATTTTTAGTAAAGTATATCATTTTTATTTCTAGAAAAGAAGGAACTTTGCCATCTGTACAGAAAACAGTACATATGCTTAAAAATTACAGAGACGAGGAATACAAAATAGCCTTCAAAAAGGGGAAACTGGGGATGCACTTACAGAAATGGGAACAAATCGATGCATTTTTACCTTAATGGACGTGGGTATTATGTGGGTATTATTATTATTAGTAGTATTATTAATTCTCTCTCGTGTACAGGTGGACAAACCGGAACAGGTTGCATGCAGCGTGTGTGTCGGCGTGAAGGGTGTGTGAGATGGGTGGGTTAGGGGGGGGGGGTGAAGAGTCTGTGGTGTGAGTTGAGGGAACAGGTTGCATGCAGTGTGTGTTTGTGTTTGTATGGTTGTTTATGTGTGTGAAAGGGGGTGTGGTGTGGGTGGGCTAGAGGGGGGGGGGGGTGTGAGAGTGTTGTGATAGGATGGTAATATGTAACTTTAAACCTTCCTCTACTGTTATTTTGATTATACACTGATACATGCAAGACTTTTTTTTTTCCCCTTTATGTTCATTGATTAATGTAACTTATGATATGTCTTGTATCAAAGAACTTGTTTGATATTGCTTATCTTGATAATTTCTTGTTATGTGAATTTCTTGCTATGTGAAATTATGAGGAAGGAAATAAAATATCATTTAAAACAAAAAAATCTACACTTTAAACCTTCCTCTACGGTTATTTTAATTATACACTGTCACATGCAAGAATTTTTTTTCCCCCTTTTTTTCTATGTTCATTGATTGATGTAACTCATGAAATGTCTTGTATCAAAGATCTTGTTTTATATTGCTTAATTTGATAATTTCTTGTTATGTGAATTTCTTGTTATGTGAAATTATGAGGAAGGAAATAAAATATCATTTAAAACAAAAAAAATATGCGCACCTTGAACGGGTGAAGCGCTTGAGGAATCGCATGGGGCCTTTACGTTTGCAGTTGTATCTTGTGTAAAGATAATAAACTGTTTATGATTGGTCACTTTTCACAAATATGTAAGTTTTTAGACTCTGATACATCGTAAATACATCTTCTCTTTTTCACCCCCCCCCCCCCCCCTCTCTTCTACTCTCTCTCTCTCAAATCTATTACAAATTCTCTCAACAATCCAAGCTTCTTTCTCACTGTAAAATCAGATACCTTTTGAATGCATTCTTCACTTTCAATGTATGTATAACTTTATTCTACACAAGGTTTATAATACAAATATCATGTCCAATATAAATAGATCACCCTTTTATAAAATACAATGTAATAAAATGTAGTTTAAAACTTTTTCAGTTTGTATGTAAATGGAAGAAAATTAAATACTTAATTTGGCAATAATGTACGTGCAGTACACATACAACTATTTCAAGAGAACATCAAGGTTCAATACAAAATAGCAATAACTTCAGAACGATAGTCATTCAGACTAACTGCAGAAGACAAAAACACGATTTTATTTCTTGATCGCCAGTTTTGAAACATTAATTAATTTCACATGAAATAACACATCCCTATCTCCTTCTAAACATACTTGTACAAACTAAGGCGGAATGTGATTATGAGGTTGAGGTTAGGGCGCGATGGGTCTAGTTATGTTGGCCATTGTTATAGACAGGAAGAAAACAAACAAACAAACAGATAAACAAATCATCTGTATGGAGCCAGAAGGCCTGTAACACTGTAATAACCTACATGTACATGAGATAACACCCTTCTGGCTCCAAACAGACAATATAAACTTCCTGCACATTATAACAAGTTAGTGCTATATTAGTGCCTGACTGATTTTGGTCACTGAATAAAATACAGGTCTCCTTATATGGACTACCCCCTCCCCCCCCCCCCCCCCCCCAATCAAATACATGTACATGTACACAGAGCAGCATATATAGAAGGCATATTTTAGAAATACGTGTAAATAACCATAACCACTAACTCTGATGAAAGATGGATCAATCAATAACACAAACTTCAAAGAGACTATACTATCTAGATGTGCAAGACTTGTATGGAATGATGTAGCCGACACTTTACACAATTCTATAATACAGATCAACTCTTCCTTCTTCTCCTCCTCCTCCTCCTCCTCCTCCTCCTCCTCCTCCTCCCCAACTCTTGCCTCTTCTTTAAAGATAGATAGATAGATAGTGGTGGTTAGTTTACCAAAGGGCACTAGTGCATTGACTTGGTTTTGAACCCGGATCACCGGATTACGAGACCCCTGCTCTAATGACTAAGCTATCATGCCTCCATATACATTTAAATATTCAACTACCACCATAAACTTGAATAAAAACTTACACATATTATTGCAGGAAATCAAATGCCGTACATGCAGTCAAACATAAAGGTACCATCTACATATATATATATATAAATATATATATATATATATATATACCTTCATATTGCAAAAATAATATTGAAAGACAGAGAATGTGAATACAAGACAAATGAAGAAGAAATCCTGTGATCACATAAATACATTTTCAAATTAAGAAACTCTAAATACATACCACTTCACATATGTATGGATACATATTAAATCAACTAAAATATTTGCATATCATTCCCATATAAGCACATACAATTTGTGAATCATTAACTCTGATAAACGGAAGACCACCATGACTTAAATAAGAATATAGGAATGTAATTCAATATACTGAAATGGAGACACTAGAATATAAAAAGATAAGATCACTTTAAAAACATGTTGTCCTTCGACAAACAGTTTGTTCCTTTAACAATATTATCTAATCTTGTCTAGACAGATTTCACAATTTTATGGCCCATAACATGCTCAAGTGGCAATTGCTCCAAGGCTGATTTTCAATACTAACTGAATTATCAACTGCAACCCTGAACAAAACAAATATACCTAACCCTAACCTGAAAAACCTAATAACCCATCTACGACCCTAACACTAACCCTATTAGAACAGACTGTTAGAAATGCCACAGGGGCAGACGTCAGACCATCCAGTAAACCTTTAAAAGCTTGGAATATATCTGAGAATTGTACGCAAGGTGATAAATATTGGTAACGCACAACTATATACTAGTACATTACATTCAGCCTCATAGTACCAACAAAATATTGCATAAACTAAAATATAATCAGCAAATAGAATTCATGCAATCATATTATGCAATGTAAATGTAATATTCCAAATTTACAATACATTCATATTTACAAGTTTTCTCAGTCTTACTTCATATCAATAGTCAGAAATGCATATTGCATGTAGGGTAGTTCAGTTCCAAATTAAAGTGTACCAATCATTAAAATTATTATACAAAAATAATAAAATTATTATAAAAAAATAAAAAACATCCCCCCCCCCCTGTTTTGTCGCTAATAGCTTCTATTAGTACTTCTGTAAAGAGGCATTGAACCTAAGTCCAACTTGGGTTCCGTCCACAGGCTTTAATATCATTTTTATTCCTACATACCCCTTATTCGTTAGCCCTTAGACTAAAGTTTTAGGAGGTTGAGTTTATACATTCTTGCCATGCACAAATGATGTTTTAGGTGATTGGTATACTTTAAGGCTAGTTTGATCTAACAACACCATATGTATTCCGTCTGAACTCTAACCATATCAATGTTAACAATAATAATAATAATGTTGATTACCCAGGGAAGTCTCACAAGCATCAATGCTGTTCCTCCTGAGAGCCCTGCAATTATTATTACCCCAGCCATAATCAGCAGGTACCAATGTACACCTGGGTGAAGAGTGGTAAATGTGGACTAATGTCTTGCCAAAGTATGTTAGTGCTTGGCTGGGATTCAAACCCTCGACCTTTGGATTGAGAGTCAAGTGAAGGAACCACTAAAACATGACATGTCCACAAAACTATTGAAAATATAAATCATAACGTGAATGTAAGATTTTGTCATTAGGCACCTGGTAAAAAGGTGCATATTGAATGTAAATGCACAATAAAAATATTCTATCAAGAAGCAAATCTGACCTTCAAATAATATATATATAAATATTAGAATACATACAATAAGAATAAAAAGTAGTTCCACATATATCTACAAATGAAAACCCATGCTGAAATCTTGTATAGAAATTGCACTTATCCATCTACCAGTACTTTTCAAATCCTATCATTCATAACAATCTCCTTTGAATATCATCCCTGAAGTTATAATATATTTTGCAGTAACACCTAGACGAAACAGATCCACCAGTTACATGATATAAAAAATACCACAAAATATTCACTTGCTGGCGGGCAATAAACTTTAATTAAATGTCATGCATCACTAGAGGGAAATGGGGTGGGGGGGGGTACCTAATTTTTATCGGCAAAAAAGAAAAACATTTTAATTTGATGAATGCTTAAGTTTGTAGGCCTAACAAAATTTTAAAATTATTAATTGATTTTTGTAATTCTTTTTTAAAGGAGATAGAAAACCTTTTCTGTTTCCTAATTTGTAAACATTTTAAATCACTGATGCATTCTTATATCTTAGAATACCGTTAGATAAAAACAGGGGGGTGTGGGTTGGCCTTTTGAAATCTGATGCCAAGTTGCTTGTCAGGGAATTTGATCAACAACAAAAATTCTATCAGAGTTCAAGAGTAGTTTATGCATAATAACATAACTGTGACACAGCAATATATTTCAGTTCTGTCATTCACTAACTTTTGATAACCATTTATTATGTAAACCTTGGGTTGGCTAGCTGCCAAATATTACGACAAGTTCTTGTTGCTCGTAAATTCATCTAAATGTCTAAAAAATAAAATTACTTTCTTTTTGTTAAGTGGCTATGTTACTGTTCTCAAAAGGCTTCAGGCAAGCTAAGCACTGTAATACTGTATATGGCACCTACTTTTTATTACTACAGACCAATTTTTCTTCAATTATACTTTCTCACAAATTATGCAACAAGAACATTTCCAGTATGGACTATTTAGCAACCCAAAACTATTTTTGCTCCATCCAACTTTTGTCTTTTCATTTTCATTCATTCAACATATCCTTTTGAAAAAAATTTCATTCTACAAAAAGGCTTCAGCTTGATATCCATACTAACAACATGAATCATCTGATATATTTCTTAGTTTGAATCTAACATCCCATAGGATAATCCTCCTACTTCTCTCATACATACTGTAAAATATAGAACATCAAAGCATATTCCAAAAATAAAGCAGCAGCATTCTACAGAACCATTTGGATTCCTTTCATTCTGTACTAAGAATGGCAAGAGTAGATACACTTGTATAAAAAAGCTAAAAGTTTAACTAATCCAACTCAGACTCTAAAATGGGAACATATTCTCACCACATATCTTTTGTCACACAAGCAAAATAATAAGCACATTCAAAAATAGACGTAATTTGAAGATTTAAAAAATAGGGGAGAAATTATGAATTATAATCTAACCTAACCATGTCAAGTTTGATAAAAACATGCATCACAAATATCAATTGTGAGACACATTTCCAATCATCTTGCCATCTTGGTGCTAACATTACTCCATTGTATTTCATTTGACAGTTCATAAGCATTCAATAAAAAAAACATGCCTTTGTTTGTCCAACACGGTTATGAACAATAGCACCCTTTTGGTGGTATAAACAGCAATCTAAATGTCAGTACAGTGAAACCTGTTTTAAAAGCCACCCTTATCTAAAAAAAAAAAACACCTGTCTATAAAGACCACACTTTAGTTTCCCTTAAAAAGCAATCTAATTGAAAAATATTTCTCAGTGAAACCTGTACAAAAAGATGACCACCTGCTTATAAAGACTACAGTTGTGACCCTCCTCACAGAGTCTCTATATCATTGACCTGTTGGCAAAAGGTTGTAAGTGCGTGCACAAGCAAAGCATATTTCGGATAACTAAGATTTGGACTGCTCAATACGTATTATCACATTTTAAAAACAAGACAACAGAAATTCTCTCTTTATCAACTAAGAAAAAAAGATAGAGAGAATGGATCGAAACTACTTAATTTAATTTGTTTCTTAATCAAATATACACCAAGTTTTGAAGCTACGGGCATTTGAATGCTGACAACATTTTGCTTATTAACAGAACATAACACACATAACATACGTATGCCCCTCTGCCAGCCACAGCAATATACAGGTGCCACTGAATGATTGCTGAAGTCCAAGTTAGTAAGAAGACTATGAATATATTTCTGTTTATACTTGTAATTCAGCTGTGACATCATTTACTGAGCCGGAAGTATTTTAGATTACTCAGATCGAATCCCTGATAGCCCTTTGTGGCAAAGAATGCATAGCCTGTGTAGTACACTGTCGTGGATCAAAAGAAAAGAAAAACAAAACAGGGCAAAACAAAGATATTAAATTTCATTGTAGTAGGATGTATGTGAGAATTTGAGAGCAGGCGCAGCTGGCCCATGACCCCATCCACAATCCCCCCCCCCCCCCCTAGAACAAAAAGAGTTTATTGGGATGGGGTGGAAATTTCTGGAGTTTGGGAGTAAAAATGCACCTTTGAAATGAGAAAATCTGCATTTGTCCCCATTTTCTTTTTCAGACATTTTGATCATGCAAACAAGATTGAAGAGAACATCAGCAATTCGAACTGATAGTTGACAAATGCAATCCAGAGCTACATGTCATTTTGTTAATGATTAAGGCCATGAAACAGAAATACTAAAACATAGTGCAAAATCTTGTGACAGATCTGAGCAGCAGTGAACCAATTTGACTTACCTATTTGTAACTCTCCTTACTGAGACTGCTGATAAGACCAGTTGTCAAACCTTATCTATTGATACCATTATTAATAGGTGGTTGTTGTTTTCAATTGCAAATTTTAATCAATTTATTTTCCCCTAATTTGGCATTACTATAAATCTATTTTCTTAAATTCTTTTGATAGTTAATTATTTATACCTTTAAAAAGGTAGTAGATATCTCGATAAATTTTTCTACTTCAAATAAATGTTTCTACATAAGGATATAAAAGCTTTTACTTTATTTTGTAAAAAAGGTGTTTTCATTTTGATGTCATGACTACTGTTATTGCGTATCACATACTCACATCCAGGAATAAACATAAGAACCCCAGCGACAATACAGACGGTACCAGCTGCATGATCTATGTAGAGAAATATAATAACGAAACATTATTTTTGAACAAGAAATACAAATAAGAGAGAATCTAGGAACATGTAATCATTATTATTGTTATTAGTATTACTATAATAATCATTATTATTATTATTATCATTTTCTTTTGAAGAGCTGAAAAGGCTTGATATATATAGGAAAGATCTAAGACTGCTACAAAGTCTATATTGGAATCAGTTTGCATGCATCAGGGTAGAAGGAGAGTGTAGTGAATATATCAACATCAGACGGGGAGTCAGACAGGGTTGTGTTATGTCGCCAGACCTGTTCAATATGTATAGTGAAATCATTCTAAGAGAATTGGAAGATGAAAATGGATACAAGTGGGTGGTCATTCAATCACAAATATTAGATATGCTGATGACACTGTTTTATTTTCTGAATCAGAGAGAGATCTCCAAAGACTCCTAAATGTAGTTGTAAAAGAAAGTGAGAGAATGGGACTAGATATCAACTAAACCAAGACAAAGTGCCTGGTGGTATCCAAGAAGAGCAGTCCAAAATGTAACTTGAAACTGAAAGAACAGACTATTAAACAAGTCTCCTCATTTAACTACCTCGGCAGCATGATTACCGAGGATGCCAGATGCGAGACAGAGATCAAGAGAAGGATAGCTCTCACTAAATCTGCATTTTCAAAGTTAGGCAAAATTCTGACAAATCGAACAATGTGTATGAGGACCAGAATAAGTGTATTGAATTGTTACATCTACCCAGTACTTATGTATGGTAGTGAAACATGGAATTTAGCCTCTGATACTAAAAAGCGTTTGGAAAGTTGCGTAATGTGGTTTCTAAGAAGAATGATGAAAATCCCCTAGACTGACAAAGTTAGTAATGAAGAAGTTCTTACACGAGCTGGAGTGCAAAGGAAAATGATACGTGACATGTTGATTAGGCAGTTGAAGTTCATGGGTCACATTACACGTAAAGAAGGCCTAGAGAATCTTGCTTTGACAGGGAAAATTGTGGGAAGAAGGAGTAGGGGAAGAAGGAGGATACTTTGGATGGACAGTCTGCAGAAATTGTTGAAAGAGAGAGGAGTGAAAGAACTGGGAGTGGTACTAATACAGAAGGCTAGGAGCCGAGGGTTGTGGAACAGCATGATCGCCAAAGTCAAACGATATGGCACTTAGAGAGAGAGAGATAATTTTCATTATCATCATCATCCTCCTCCTCCTCCTCCTCCTCCTCCCCATTATCATCATCATCATCATCATCATCATCATCATCATCATCATTATTATTAACTCAAAATAATTTAAAACTTACCTTTCACGCCTATTTCAAGTACAATTCCAATTAGAAGAAGGGCTGCAACAGAAAAATAACAAAATTGACACGCAATGATTTAAATATAACAAAAAGTGTACATCTACAGTGAATTTAAGTGATGCAATATCAAGAAATATTTGAATGATTTAAAAAGGATAATACAGTCAAACCTGTCTATAGCGACCGTCCAAGGGAAACACAAAAGGTAGTCTTTGTAGACCAACGGTCTATGTAGACAGGTCCCTTTAGTACATGTTTCAATAAGAAACCATTTTCAAGGGAAACAAAAAATGTGATCTTTGTAGACAGGTGGTCACTAAAGCAGGTTTGACTGTATTATTATTATGGTTTGTGCACACATGATGAGGTAAATCACAGCTGTTTTTTTTAATACATAAGTGAATGGCCTTGTACAGATGAAGAAGAAAATGAAGCTGTAGGCAACCACAGTCCTATGCATAATCACTTAACTGTATGTTACATGTATATACACTGTATGTGAAGTGCACTTTGCTTAAAGTAGATATTCTTTGATTTTAAAAACTAACTTTATTTTCATTATTGCAAAGTTGAAACTTTGATTCGGCAAGGTTATCAAAATTCAATGCTTGGAAACATTTGAAGTAATGATTATTATAAATTACAAAATGCTTAAAGGGGAAGTCCACCCTGAAATTAAGTTAGTTTTAATAGGAGTAGAAAAATGAGAGAAACAAGTCAGTGAAAGTTTGAGCAAATTCCGATTAAAAATAAGGAAGTTAGGATTTTTGAAGTTGTGATCAATCAAACACAAATTGGCAACTCTATGACGTATCATGCGAGCTCAACTTCCATTTGCTCAGTACTAAAAAAATCTAAAATTTTCATTTTCCCTCAAGAAAAATTTCAACCATACATGCACCCTAAATATAATAATTGCAAATATGTTTCTATACTCCCCCTGCAAGGAACAAATATATATTCCGTCATCAATAACGAAGAGTTGCCAATTTGTATTTGATTGATCACAACTTCAATAATTCATAACTTTCTTATTTTCATTCAGAATTTGCTCAAACTTTCACTCACCTGATTTTTTTATTATTCTGCCTCTATCGAAACAAACTTATTTTGGGGGTGGACTTTCCCTTTAAATACAGCCCTGGCATAGCACCTGAAGAGTTCTCCGAACGCTGCTGAGATGTGTGAGATCACAGTATCGACATGACTTGGACAAGCAGACGATGTCCCATGACATCTCACACATTTTCAGTGCCTGTGTTTTCATCTTCTCTTGAGTTCTTTCTCTTACTTCACTGAACCCGCACATGGTTTTATTTTGATGACAAATGCAGCGATAAAAAAATAAAGGAATCTGTCACTTGTAAACAAAATAAGACGCCATTGTATATTCAGCTGCACACACCGGGGTATGTTCGGCATTTCAAGAGGGAACAAATGCCGTCCTTAATATCATTCCGGGGTTTTTTCAATTTGAAAGTCTGGTTTCTTTGATTGTTAATTAACCCCTATCCTGTGTATTAACAAGGAAAACATTTTAGTTATCAGAATCGGGTCATATCCCCTTTTGAATGGTTTGACATGCCATTACATTTATATACACTAAACTCATTATAATTTGAGAAATAATAGCTTTGCAATTATGTTCATTCTCTATGGGATGTCGTCTCCTTGGGCAGTGTTGGTCCATATAGTGACGTCATTAAAACATCATTATTTTTCTGTTGAATCTCTAGTACATCCCAGCTGCTATGGAGGTAGTTGTATTTGTATTTTTATAAATCACCCGATATGTAGTTGACCTAAAGCTTGTCCGATGGCCATCTGTTAGCTTACCAGTTTCTAGTGATACATTAGTTGACATATTTGTGATCTTCTTTGAATTTCACCTTTAATAGTTTGCCAAGGTGAATTATGGTAGCATTTATTAGCATGGCTTTAGAGGTCAGAATAATAACTTGAACTGAATACCTGTATATCAGTCTATTTTGTGTGTATAGCGCTTAGAGACTTCGGTGGTAAGCGCTTTATAAGTAATGTTTTTATTATTATTATTATTATTATTATTATTATTATTATTATTAGACTTACATGTACAGCCTATTCAAACCTATACCATGTTGCATCCCTGTACAAGGATGGGTACCGGTATAATATTTCCTTACAAAGGGTTTCAGTGCATGATTTCACAAATCCTAATGTAACTTGCATATAGACTAAACTCAGTTCTTCATTCCTACAAGCCTCTTTTAACACAAAGCATTACCAATACTAGAATTAGATTAAAAACAGTTTAAATATTAAAAAAAGGATACAAAATTATAAAACATTACTCTCACCTGATCCAGTTAGAAGCAGTATAAAAGACACCAGCAGAGAGTTTCTGTATTCCTTCAGCTCTGCTTTCAGGAACCACCTGTGAAGACAAATGATAAGAACATGGGTCTTGATAAGTATTCTTCATATTCATAATGTAACACACACATGTATGGTCTGTTTAATACTCAGTTAACCCCCTTCTGGCTTTAAACAGAAAAAACACAGAATAAAATGTATGAGCAATATTACTAAATGCCTTCCACTCATGTTTGACTTTATTAATTTTTTGTTGTAAAACATGATCCCCTAATGGCCTCTGTTACATTTATATCAATTAAACACAGAGAGTGACACCGAGATGAAACTACATGTATCTCTCGAAATGTTCCTACGCTGCAAGTCAGGGATGCCAGTTAAAATTGATCAGAGGGCCTGAAAATCACCTGGTTTCTCGAAACCAACTCCATGACAGTCATATCTTTGTCGGCGACCTACGGAGATGTCATGAAGTGGATAAACCGTTTCACAAAGCCATGACAGACATGATATCGATATACCTCTATACTATCAGCTCAAGAACATAGTCTTTGTCACAATCCATTTGATTTATCACGAATAACCCAAAACAAGTTTTGGGGCTAAAATTGTTAAAAAAGAAACATATACATATAAACTCTCCTAAAATAAATAACAAATAGTGTCATTATCAAATGTACATCATCAAACGATTTGCATATTTCTGTAAAGATTCTTAAATTGAAGAAAAACCAGTGAGTGTTTTTTTATCGGAAATCGAATCAAAAGGTAGTTGAAGGATACCGTAATGTGATAGTTTATCAATACATACTTTTTTTGTTTATTGTGACGAGAGATTTTAGGCAAAATACCTTTTCTCAGCCAGTTTTTATTCTAGAGTCTCATAAATACTCGTTATATAATTGATTTGATATTGAAAATATAATTTGGAAGAAGTAATTAGAGAGGGAATAATAATGCACATAGGCCCCAAAGGTATGATGGTATCCTAAGAAAGACTATGAATCGACTATGGACAATGGTGTGTAACATTCTTATCTCTTTTATTTATACGTTATAGTTTAATGATTTGTGATTTAATGTTTATATTCAGCTTTTTAAAATTTCTGTATAATTTGTATTATCACTTCTTTACATTTGCATTTCGCATCCCAGAGAATTACGTACCAAACTCGTCTATATTTTTCTCAAAATGATAGTGAAACTAATCGTAGATTTCGCGGCCCACGGAATAGCAACAAACTGACTTGTGATGGCGCTTTACAGCAATTAAAAAGATATGACGGGTTCGGAGCAGTGACAACTCATTGTCGTGGAAGTTGTCGCTCATCTTGGCAAAGACGGCTTCGTGAAACACTTAGCTGACAATTTGCGTGACAGTGTCGAGATGTCGTTGATCTTGTAGTTATGACGGTTTCGAGAAACGGCCCCCTTGTGCAAATCTACAAGAGATTCTTGAAACACACTCTTTTCTGTCATATTAATTCAATTTTATGTTTATATTATAATAGTGAAGAGTATCCAACTACATCAATGTTTGCTCTGTTTTGTAGCCAATTGCTTCAATGTCATTTGTCATTACCTAATTTTCTAACTTGTAACTTTGTAAGGGCTTATGATTAAAATGCAATTTGCTAATTTTGTAATTGTCAGTTTACAGTTTGTACATATAGTATTGTGTATTGTCCCACATAACTGTAGTACATCATATTAAAATAAACATTTTTATACCTGCAACTGTACTTATCTTTTAGAATAAATCAATCAATATTCTACATTACTAATGTATTAAAGCGCATTAGGATTTTGATGAGTATTGTATGCTACTACACATGTAAAAATCTGCTTGTTATTTTGTCTGTTCAGAAACAGAAGGGTGTTAACTCTGTGTTGTAATATATGAGCTAATGCCCTTCTGATGCCAAACAGATAATTAAATATACACTGTACATACCAGGTGCCAGGTTTGTCTGCATTGCTATTGGGGTCTCCTTCAGTCACTTCAAACGTACCAGCAGTACTGCCGTGAGCTGAAGGGTCTATTAAGGGCTACAGTATAGAAAATAATAGAGGAAACGTTACCGGTATGTATCTGTATCAGTATTAGATGCTCTGACCTTCAATATAACAAAATACATGAACTGACAAATTCTCAATTTGAGGGTGAATATATGTTGTATTGAACAACAAAACGCATACAATATTTGTTGCCTGTATATAGGCGACTTTTTATCCTTTGTAGTCAATTTTAGTACAGAGAATCCAAGAGGATATGGCAATTGTACAAAGTTACACACATACAAAATATATGTTTGGAGCCAGAATGATATTAATTTTGTGTTAAGAGTTAAAGCCTTTCTGACTCCAAACAGACAGTATTATGTGCTGAAAAAATCAGAGGTTCTTGTTTATAGTCATATTTCACCAGGGGCAGAGGCCGGAGGATGAGGTGTACAGTACATATTTTTGCAACATAAATTTATTTGGTGTCCTTGGAATTCATGATTTGGTAAAATATCAAAAAGATAATTAAAAATAGTTGAATAAATTCTAACTTTGCTAATTCAACTTGTTCATGGATGAGAACCAAAATAAGCAAATAAATCACATAGAACTATGGCAGAATAATAAACATCTATTAATACATCTACATCTAATGAAGACAACTGGGGCAGGAAAACGTATTTATAAACAAACAATACAACATTTTACCAGTATAATAATCACAAAAGCATGTTGTGAACAGTAAAACTGAGAACTACTCACAAATAATAACAAAATTAACTGCTGTGTGAAAGTTCTTTCCTTATTATTACGCAAATTCTCACAAGTCACGTCATTACATTTTTCCGATGCAATATAAGCAGCACCACCACATGTCTATTTTTTTCTTTCCCTTTTTAGTTTTTGACTTATTTGGATTGGTCACTATTTTTTTCCGTCCTCCATTCATTGCCACAAATTATTTCACTGGAGCCTACAGCTTTACAAGCTTGCTTTCATGTACATGTACGTCCCATCATATTTCTCACAGTTAAATCAGTGCTCTATATTCACCACTTTATCTTTATTTTATTTATTATGTATTATTGATTGTTATTTTATCACACAAAAAACAACTTGTACTTTATTTCGAAATGTATACAGTATGTAACATGAGAAACACGAACATAAATGAAATGAAATAAAATGAAATCCTTGTTCCTTGTTGCAGTAATCCCGATCGCACTGCAAAACATTGCAACCACCCCCCCCCCCCCCCCTCCCATTCTCTCTCTCTCTCTCCTATTTAAATTCCAACATTGTTCTGCACTGCCATGGTAACTAGATCTCCACTAAGAAGCAGCTAAAAGTACTTGAGATTGGAGAGTGAAAGTGATTGATGAACCTCTTCTTAAAAGTTGCTGGTAGAGGTAGTCAGGTACATACATGTACATGAATGTACAGACATGAGGAAAAAATCTAAATCTTCAAATGTATATGGAAGAAAAGAAGGGGGAAAAAAATCAGATATGACTTTTATCTGCCAAAATTGGCAACGCTTTACAATATCTATTTTAAAAAGTATTTGGATTGTCATGCCAAGTTTACCGTTTGCAATACACGTTTACAGCATTTGAAATCTCGAAGAGTATTATTGAAATTGTGGTAGATCTACCTGTAATTTGAAGGAAAAAACTAATAGTAAAACCTTAAAAGACGTTACAACTTACAGTCACCTAGACCCCTAGCTAAGAAATATAACCCTTTTAAAGAAGTTTTAAAGTTTTAAGAATCTGGAGAATTTTGTAAGGCGCGGTACGCAATTTAGCTCTTGAAAGCTCCAAAAGAGCTCTTGTAAACATGGTAAACCCCCCCAAAATAGCAAAAAGCCCAATTAAAAGCAATAAAATACATAAATATCGCTGTAAGAAATTTTAGTTTTAGTTTGACGTAAAACACATTTTTGAGAGGAGCCCCAGGCCTGGAGACAGAAAAGTATTCTAGTAGTACACCGAGGCGATGGCGAAAGCGAAAGTTGTCATTGATAATATTAATTCACAAGACAATAAAAACAAAACAATGCAACACACACACACACAAACAAACAAAATTAAAAAATAAAACAATTCAGTTGGTCTAACATGTTAAAAAAACGAAAAGTCTACACAGCCGCGTAGGCGTGGCAAAGCACGATTAATCTCTTCAGCTGTCAGTCAGCGGTATCCCATTAGTTGGTGCCCGGTCGTACACCGGGGGCGAGCGAGCACCATGTTTGAACGAAAGGATCTCCTCTCTCGTGTAGCAAAGGCAAAGCCACCGCCACAATCTCAATATGCCAAGCTTATATATATTTGTTTAGAACATGACAAAATGTAATTAAGCTATTTCCTCGTGAAAAATCTTACCGTTGACATGTTAAACGTCTTGAATTCTCATTGAACACTGTACGTAGCTCTAAAAAGAAGTGTTTTTTCAACACATTGACCAACTGACATTGGCAGTGTTTACAATATTATTGATCAATACCATATGTCCGACGGTAGAGGGCTTTCAAATATTTCTGTTGCTAACAAATCCAAGTGACAGGCGTCCGTTTTGAATCTGACTAAAATGACCAAATTTAAATGGAAGGGCCGTGCTTTGCAATGTATTTTCATACTGCTCTAGTCCTGGCATTTCTACACGCTGTATCGTGTCAAGGTAAGCAACCTTTTAATTATTTTGAACAATTAATCATTTAATGAAGCCTTATTTCCTTGGTACATTAATTAAGCCCAGCCCCATACGTTTATCCTTGTGCACTGTCCACTGAACATTCATGCCCATTGGCATTGCATTGACTGTTGACATTGTGATGTCATGATTGTGTCGTTGTTGAATTTGACTGTTGTTGATAGCCTGGTTGAAAGTTGATCAGTTGATGGAGGGAATAATTAGACCCGACAGAATGGTATTTTACTTTTAGACTAGAGTTAGACTTTTGTTGACTTTGCCAAAAAGCCCTTGCCAGTTGAGTTGAGTGAGTTGGGTGGACCGTGGATGTTGGCTTGTTGCATGTTCATGTTGTTGTTGATTAGTGTTTTATGGCAATTGGTCAATTTCGATTAGTAAGAGGATTTTGCTTTAGTGGACAAAAACTCCCTCCTTTACTCTACTTCTAATATTTCCAGGTGTTATCCAAAGTCAAAATTGTGTGCAAAGAGGATGAAATCCTAATCTGTACTAATATTTTTCTTTCAGAAACTCTTTTTGGAGTAGTAAGCCTGAGCTTTTCACCCTTCACGAGCGTCTCACTCAACCAAAATGGAGGATCCGTCAATGTCAGCCTTTTGCTTTATGACAGTGCCACCAACATGCAAAGCATCAATAGTACTGCAACCATCGATGAAGATGTAAGCAAAATTCATCCAATCCAATTCTTGTAATCAGAATTTTGTTTTAAATTGTTAACTTATGAATTTCAAGGTCATGCAATACCGTATTCTTTTATACCAGTTAATATTTAAACAGTACCTGGAGAGGTATAGAACGTTCATCATGAATTAAACGCTTAAAGACTTCATGTAAAAGTAAATAAGATATCGTCTTCAAGCTCAAAGAAGAGAATACAATTTATTCATGATAAGTTGAACAAATTCAGTGTTAGATGTAATCTATCATGCCCTGGAAACTACTGCAAAATGTAGCACCTAGGGTAGAGTACCCAGTATTCGGTCACTTAAGGGGAAATCACTAATATTTTGAATTCTTACCTCTTTCATTGGGCAATCTACCCATCAAAAGAAAAGAAATTTATTCCTCTAACAGGATTTTATAGTCACTGAAAATATAGAATAACGATAAGCAAAAGACTTCCGAAAGAAGACGGAGCATTTTTCTGCCCAGAATTCGGTCGCGCCGACTAGAATTCGGTCACGCGATTTGTGCGTGGTATCTCCGTTGCAAAGGAGCGTAGCGTATTTGCGCACTATTTTCACACAATTGCGCAATAAAGCACTGAATGTCAATGCGTTGACCGAATACTGGCTGAGCGATACCGCATGGCAAGGGTATCGTATAAATACCTCTTGCACATCGGCAAGTGCGTCATTTGCAAATTCGCTGCGATGGAGCGAACACGGAAGTGATTCTCTTCACACACATACTAAATTCATTGTGACAGCACACGTAGTTGTTTCGCAATAGACTTCTACATATGGCTATGCATGTTAGCGCATGTGCTAAGAGAACGCGAAAGTGCGGAAAGTTGTGCGACACTGACCAATTTCGAGCTAAGTTGGAGATCATTCCGGGGCCCTAAATCTGATTTAATTTTGAGAGTTAAGAAAAATTGTTCAGCTGCCTGATTTGTGCAAGTTTCGTGGCTCATAAATTATTTTTTAAATTGTTACAGCTGTTGAAACGGCTGTCTGACCGAATACTGGGAATTGACCGAATACTGGGCGCGCTACCCTATATTAACTCTGATCCCTTTAGCAACGCCCTGGCCTATGGGGCAGTTGAGGGCAAAAGTCCACCAAAGAAGAGGGTCTAGAGAGTTTGATCATAAATATCTTCATGATTACAATGAAATATGGAGAAGGAAGATATAAAGTTCTGATCAACCATTTAATTTGGACTGTTTCACGACCTTAAATGGAGGAGACATTTTCCTCTTTTTTTTAATCGATGTATTTCTGGCCTCTTCATGTATTGGATCGGAATGGACATTTAAATGGATGAAGAAGATGAAGTTAGAGAGAAAGTTTCATGTAGGTATATGTGGGTACATAAAATACAGCCAAACCTGGTATAGCAACCACCTGTATACAAAGACCACATTTTTTGTTTTCCTCGAAAATATTTCCTCATTGAAACATGTACTAAAGGAACCTCTACATAAAGGCCACTTTTCTTGTCTCCCTTTGGGTGGCCTTTATAGACAGGTTCCACTGTAGTAAAATTCTATTCTGGGTACCTATTGATCGATATACATTATAATACCCTCTAACCATACAATGTTTACTCATTTTCAGGTGATTGTTATGTGCAGTATAATCACCCCTTACGAGGATGGCGACTCCCGGGTGGTATTTATGGACGATGTTATTCCAGCATTTGCTGAGTCAGGTTTAATTGACTTCAGGTAAGACAAGAAAAATATAATTACCAAAGCTGTTCAGTGCTGTATGCATCTTCAAGAGCTCAAATATTATTATTTCATCTTAAATACTGTAAGACTTAAAATGAAAACAAGTTTACAAATTGATTCTCTTGTTGAGTTTTATAGGGCTATTGGATGTGAAGTTTCATTTCTAAGATCCAGATTCAAGTATTGAAAAATAAATTAAAACGATAATTAAAGGTATGTCTTATAAAATGTTAGTTGTGGTATATTGTTGTGAACTCAGTGCTACATTTATGGTTACTTCATTTAGATAATTCCTGTTTTCTCGTCATCAGTTTGCAGCCTCTTTTTTTCTTTCATTTCTAGTTTTCTCCACCATCAAATTCATTTGTCTTTCATTTGTCTTACTTTGGTTTAAGCATTAAAGACCTACATGTAGCAAACAAATATAGCATGCAAATTAAAGTACTCTATTTCTCAAGCTAATATTATTTTGTCGTGATTTGTCAATGTATTATCAAGCCTCAACATTTGTGGTGCAGCGAATGAGCAAAACTTTCCTGAACAATTCTATACCTACATGTACTGTATATCTTTTGATGTTAGCTATAATTGTAATGAATCTTTCTTATTTTTCTTGTTAGTATTGTGGAGCAAGGAAGAGTGGTTGAGGTTCAGTGTAGGGGTGAGACATCACCTGATAATACCGGGACGACATCCTACTTCAGCTTCGACACATCAGCAGGACCTACAGGGTGAGTACAGTTAACATACATGCAGGGCGCGACAAACCCGCTTGCCCGACGTCCCGGGGCAACCAAATTGAGCCGTCGGGCAAGTAAATCAAATTATCACTTGCCCGATTCGGGCAAGTGATACTTTTACAGTAATTTCCTAGTGTCCAAGAACTCTACCATTCACCCGTCAACTTCTTACCCGTCGTCAAAATCCAGAAGCAAAAAAGCGATCGTTCCGATTTCGAAAAAACTTCACAGACAGCTAGCCAGCTCAGCTAGCTCAGCGCGCATGCAACAGTGACACTTCAAGCCATGAATGCCGCTCCGCCTCCACGCACGGCCGGCCGTGAGCTAGCTAGAGACAGCTAGCGCGATCGTACCAGCTGCGAGCTTATTCGCGCTCTCTCTCTCTAGCTCTGCAGGCCGCACCGACAGGCCTTTGCTATTCTCTGATTGCCGATTGGTTGAATCACGCCAAATATGACGTCATTATTCTAGGGAAATGAACACGTGCGAATCGGAATGGAATAAACAACAGGGATTTTCTAGTAAGTACAAAAAGTCAAATGTTTGATATTTATTCATAATGACTGTTAATGATTGTGAACATATTATTTAAAACTCGCTGCTCATATAAATTACTGCGGTCTCAAGATCCGACCGAGCGAGTCATTTTGATAATAGTATCGAGACCCCCAGAATATAAGCCGTTGTTGTTTTGTTTTCATGGTTTTAGCGACGTTGTTTAGTCTAGTTTTCGCATACTTATCCGAGATTTATCGTAAAATAGCGAAAAAGGACTCGAGGTTAAAGCATTTATGCTTTAACCTCGAGTCCTTTTGCTTTAACCTCGAGTCCTTTTTCGCTTTAAAGTTTTGGGCAAGTGGAAATATTGTTTGGGCAAGTAAATTGAAAACCCACTTGCCCGACAGGGCAAGTGGTGAAAAAAATTCTTGTAGCACCCTGACATGTACAATAATAATAATAATCCGCTTTTATATAGCGCTTTACAGATATACTATTACCCCGGTCATTGGATTCAGTGCTTACCCTCACACACTGTGGGCACAATCTCCACTCCCTGGGGAGCATTCCAGCCAGTCGTTACTTGACGCTCTGTGAGATTTCATGTGATGTCTCAAAGTGAACCAGTAACATTGTTGAAGGTTATTGAAAAAATGTGTCATGTTTTTATAATTTTATGAAATGTTACTTATTATATTCCTTCTACTTTAATATGCAAAACATCTTGAAAAAATTCTCAGATCACAAAGATATTTATAGTTTTCTTTGAAGGTGTCAATGTGTAATTCCCTGTAACAGTAGATTCTCCCAACCAATTTTGAATTATCCCAACCATTTTTTTCATGAAAATAAGACATAAAAAAGGCTTTGAAGAAAAAAAAATTAAACACTTAAATCTTTGGAACGATATAACAAGCCAATTCATTGCTTTGTGACAATTTACATTCACCTAAAATTTAATTCAATTGTAATTACATAGTTGGGAGAATTTAGGAATAAATCAGATCAGTTTTTTTCCCAATTTGTTATGGTCCGTTATCACTCAAAATTTCAGATTATCTTTAGTTGTACATCTAGCATTGAAGTCACTACCTAAGCACCATTTCTCTCATCTGAACAGTGTGACCAAGCCCCTTTAGGGTGGCATGGTCTAGTGGATAAGTCACCAGACTGTAAGGCTCATGGTGCAGGGTTCAAATCCCTGCTGTGGCACTTGTTTCATTCCACTAAACATTACTCAATTGCTGCTCTTCAGCCAGGCAAAGTAAAATATATAAATAGTTTCCTGTCAAATGACAATTATCAGTTTATTAAGGTGTCTGGTAAAGGAAACAATGCACAGTGATGCATGGCTTAGTTCTCTCTCTCTCTCTCTCTCTCTCTCTCTCTCTCTCTTTCTCACTCTTTCCTTCTATGTTGTTCCTTAACTTCATTACCCCTTGAATTCACAGATACATGTACTAGTATATTGTTCCCCTTTCCCTCTACTTTTCAGATTTCTAGTGGTGAAGAAGAGTCCAGTGGTCAGTTTTTGTGAGTCGATAATCTTGGTTCCAATCTCGACTGATATCACATCATCTACTGTGCAGGTTGAGTTGAGGTGAGTACATGATACAGAATCTAAATCTGGTCAATGGTATGACAACTTCTTCTTTTTTACGTGCCATGTTCTGAGACGTTGGCGACCATGGAATGCCACAACTCTCTGTCCCATATTCTATGAAGTAATTCATTCTCCCCGAGATCAATTCCACTTTCACAAATCCCACTCCTTAAGCTACTCATCAACAGAATCCTTCTTCTACCCTACTCCTCCTCCCCTGATTCTTCCAATCAGTGCTAGATTTTCCAAACCATTCTTTCGAAATAACATGGCCCAAGAAGCTCAGCTGTCGACCTCTTTATTTTATTCAGAAGCTTTCGTCTTGTTCCTGCCATGGCAAATACCTCATTTTTAGAAACTCTTTCTTCTGACAACACTTTTAGTATATCGTCTGTTTGGAGCCAGAAGGGCATTGACTCATATACTTTAACACAGAGTTAACACCCTTCTGACTCTGAACAGACGATATGATGAGTTAAGATACGCAGAGAATACTGTGTCTATAGGTGCGTATTCTACTAAATGTTAAATCAGATGCCAGGTTAAGGCTTTTTTCCTGAAGAGTTTATAAAAGTATGAACTAGTTTTGTATTATTTCTAATATTTTTTATAACTTTCCAGGGAAGAAGCAATATAATTGAGTTAAGAATGGCTATGTGCGTGTGCAGAAAATTCCTTAGCCTACAGTGTACCTTGATTTTACGATTATTCAGTATACATGCTCATACATGTATTGCCCCAACCTTTTTTACCAGTATTGTAAATGTTCTCTGTAGCAAATATATGGCTCTGTAAGCTACATAAATACAACAGAATTTCCCCCCTTTCAATTATGACAGTTACCTTGCTTCTATTATTTACATTTACACATTCCTGGATTACTGTACTAACTATAGTAGATTCCCAACAATTTCTCTCTGTTTCATGATTGTTATCTTTCTGTTTTATCTCCTTTTGTAGCGAGCCTGTAGTTGACTATCGAGTTACTGTATCCTGTGATATTATTGGAGTAGTTGACGGTAAGATTGAACGTTTTGCATACCTTAAATGGGCTATTTCATCCAAAACATGATTTTCTTTTTGCTCTGTTGTTGTTTATATTTTTGTGTTTGATTTGATTTGATTTTATATTGTTATTTTCATTATTTTATAGAGTACTGTAGTGGATAAGAAGTTATCAATGTATGTGATTCATTCATTTTGAAGTTTTATTCTAACTAGTCCCCTCCTCGCCATTTCAGAGAACACATGTAAGTAAACCAAAAGGGTTTGGGATTCAAGCCAGTAGACATGGTCTACGTAAAAGCTTATCCAGTGCTGAAGTCTTTTTGTGTATGTCTTTAAAAAAGGTTACCAATCACCTAATAAAATCATTTTTTTTTTCGCTAGAGTATATAAAATCTACCGCTAATAGTCTATTTACTGGGAATTGTATGGGTTAATTGTTGAGGAGTCTGAAGAAAATAAAGGATAACATCAAACTCTGTTTATGGGACCCAGCTCTGACTTGAGTTCCCCTGTGCACCCTATTCTATGTATGCAAGCACGCAAGGGTTCATCAACAAATCTACTCATTGTATTTAAATCACTTTTGTTATAAACTTAGAGTGCATTTCAATTTGTAATGTGTTTCTGTAGAACTGATATATGAAGCTCATATTTTGAATATATTATAGCTACATGTACATGGAACTCCTTACATTCAAAGAAAAATATGTTTAGGTCCTCGGTAACCTTTTAACGGCTTGAAATGTTTGCATAAGGCTACATATCTATGGAAGACAGCTCTTTAAATGTGAATGTCTCTTATCTTATCTTACATGTATCTTCAGCAAGTTTCATCCAATCTCTCTCATCTCTGTAAATTCTATTTTAATTTAGCTCAACCCATCTTTTGTACCTGATTTAGATTCCAGGGCCCTGCAAAATATTTACTGATGGCCAATTTGACATTGCAACATCACATTGGCAATTTTAAAAAAAATCATGCATACTAAATGCATTGTATCAAATGCATGATGATTATGTAATTGTGCACAATTTGCAATGACTGCATATGAAAACCATGTACCTACCTATCAAGGCCTACAAAATAAATTTCATAATCCTGCTATGGAGTTTCTTACGCTTGCGGTAACAAAATACTAAAATCGGCTAATTATTTATCCTACCTGGAAACTGAGTAAAATGTTAATATTTCTGACATGCATATTTAATTGAATACAAGCCCTATTAAAACAATAGATTGGATGATCTATTTCATGATCAAATTATCATCATCTCGTTCTGTTGAATGGAATGTATTTGTGGTTCTTCATCATTGTTTTGTTTTAATACCATTTCTTCCTCTTCTTTTCAGAAAATGGAATTGTTATTGCCAGTGGTAAACAAATAAATACATATATCATCGTGATACATAATTGTATAGCTGCTTTTAATCGTTAGCCCTAGATGCTTGATTTGGTTTGTTGGAACCTCATGAATGCATTTGTTGCTCAGACAAGTTTCAAGCGAAACCTGTGATTGTAAACCATTCTAATATGCATGCATGACCATCTAAAACTTCTCAGTGTCTTCTATATAATAGATGTGTACTAAAATAGACTGTTACTTGCAAAAAGCATGTTAGTGATTACATGTGGATTGTCTTTTTATCAACACCAGTTTCCACAGAAAAGAAGAAGGAGCAGGCGCGTACGCAGGATTTTTTTGAAGGGGGGAAGGTGTTAAAATTTGAAAATCGTGCGCCGAAAAATTTAGCAACGATTCAGCCAGCTGCTGAATAAGCGAGGGGGGGGGGGGAGATGGGGTAAGAGCACTTTTTTTTTTTTGTCCTGAAAATTTGGCGGATCGATATTTCGTACCTTTTTGGGGTCACCCATGAGCACTATTTTTTCTTCTTTTTTTTCTTTAAAGGGGGGGGGGGGGTTTCCTCCCAAATACACACACAAAAAAAATTTGAGGGGGGGTTCGACCTCCAAAACCATCCCCCCTGCGTACGCGCCTGAGGAGGAGATACATGTAGCTGTGAACTATGACGTGTGCAATTATTCCATATTCACATTCTTGCCACATGTATTTATTTATTTCATTCATGCATGTGTAACAATATTTTGAAGACACCAATGAAATTGTAAATATGGAATTCACCATTACCCAACAAAGAATATCTAAACTACATGTACATGTACATGAAGTCATGTTATTCATTTGAAGCAATAGTTGTCAAAACTTACTCTGAGATTATGGGACAATATGATTGAATATTAGAGAATTACGATCCTCCTAGGACTATAATGAGGTATTTTATCAGTTCCTTTTCAGATCCAATTACACTTCATTCAATTTAACATGCATTTTTTCAACAACATCAATATTGTCACTTTTCAAATAAAATTAAGTAGACAGATTGACTTGGAAATGCTAAACAGGATGTGTGAAGTGAACTTGTGGGGCATTTTAATGTTGTGAATTTTCTTTAGTTGGCTACTTGGAGAAACCACTTTGAATAAGATTGATGTGAGTGACAGCTTGTTGCGGTTTTGTTACAAAATTGTATTGCTAAAACAATACTACGTCAAAGTAAATTTGAAATCATGACTGGGAGTGCGTATTTCATCCTCAGCCGTTTTTTTTTTTTTTGGGGGGGGGGGTTTCTTTTTTTTAAATATTCTTTACATGAACATTGCCAATGCTAGATACAGCATTATATACATAAAGCCATTGGGGTTAAGTAATCTTATCAGTTTCGTAGGTATAAAACTTACCCATTGTCAATCTTACTGAATATTTATTTTCATTCACTTTGTTCTTTAGACTACGTTCATGTACCGTAGATGTCTCAAAATTATCTTGAATATATATATTTTTTTTTTTTAAATGGTAACTTAAATAAAAAATGATATATGACATCAAGGCTCGGTGTACCCAGTTGATAACTTCATATATGATATGTATCCATGTTTATATATAGTGAATAGTGTGTGATTAACATGCATGTGTTGACAGAGATAGACTTTAGTGTTCAATCAACCCTGATCATTCCTCATCTATGGTGATTTCATGCAATGTGTCCCAAACAACATAAGACATCTAACCATATATTCCATACTTGAATGAAAATAACTCTTGCAATGACTAAGAATAATGGTAGTGGTCTTTGACCATGATCAACAACATATATTCTTTGATAATTTGTTATGCAAAGCGCTGTGAAACAACAGTTAGTTTGTATTAAGAGCGGTATAGAAAATGACTATATTGTATTGTATTGTATAGCAGAAAGCACCATCATAAATCCATATAAAAAAGTTCTTCATTTTTGGATGAACTATGTTGGAAATATACATCTGTCATAAGGGGCACATTGGATGGAATCCCCCTATCCCCCCCCCCTCCCTATTCTCAACATAAATAGATACATTTGAAACATGTGCATTTATACATTAGACTAGGTATTCATAGACCTACATGTACATGTATAACACATGAAATTTACTAATTTACATTTACATGTATAAATGTATTTAAGTACAATTTTTTAATTTTTCACCACAAGCCATCTAAAGTTGCAAGAATTTCTAAGACAATTTTGAAAACATTAATTTATAAAAGGGTGTTTAGAAATAATTGAGCCTGGCTTGGATGAATATATATAAATGTATTCAAAAATATATATAAATGGAAAAATTATGACATAATATTATATAAAATGTGATATTGATACTTCTATGCTAGTCCATTGTTATTTGCATGCAATCTTGAGCCAAATCCATAGACCAGTTTATTGTTGTGCTGTAAATACCAGAATTTTGATACATTTTCATCAAATTTACAGTGTGTTTAATCAATGTGTGTGATATTTTTTCAGAAGGGGAACAAGAATGAAATCAACTTACAATATAAAACAGATACAACAAAATATAATGGAGCACCCTCATTATTTGAAAGAAAATCATGAAAGAAATACTACCAATAACAACAATAAGCTCTTCTTTTTAAAAATTTCTCTGGTTGTTCAAGGGTTATTTGAGAATGTGCTTACCAGACATTTATAAACATGTATGAGAACTATAGTACACTCTATTAACAGTACTATATACCCCGGTAGTCTAGTTTTCCTTAAGAAACAAGGAATCTTTAAAAAAAAAAAAAAATTTAGGGAAAGTGGGGCCTGGAAATTTTAACTGGTAGCAGATGAAATCAATATATATATATATATATATATATATGAATCATTAAAATTGAAAGATGCCTTTCCTGTATGCATGGATGCTGTTTAACCTCTAGGGCGGTCATACCTCGCCAAAAACGATAATAATGCAGTAACGATAATGATATTTCAGTTAAAGGTCTATACCTACACATCCCAATCAGTTATATAGGGGAGAGACCCGAGGGCAAGGGTTACAGTGAGTCATTTCGTTTTTCCCTTGAAAGGCACAGGTGATGCTTAATACTAAATAGTAATGATAATGATGGTGATATGTTGATACATGTATTAGGGCAGCTGCAAAGTCTCATTATCATTGTTGTTATCAGTGGAGTCTGACCAGTCCTTAGCTGAGCATATTGTATACCGTGCTCCTTTGTGGTACCACTTTTTGCCTGAGCATGCATTGCTATAGATTGGCCATAAATATAGGTACACTGTAGTGCACGCATTATCCCTGAGTATTAGCAGTGCAAATAGAAATGAACTTTTTGTGTGACGTGTCTGCACGTGTTAGGCAAATTATTATACTTCGGTGTATGAAATATGCAGTTATGTAAGTAACAGTAGATAAATAATTCCTAAATGAGATCAGAGCTCTGTAAAATATGGAGATACAATGATATCAATTGTGTTCCCCCCCCCCCCCCAAAAAAAAAGAAGGTAATTGCATCGTTTTCAACGTTTAGACTGTGAATGGATATGCCTTTTAAAATTACCCAGCAATATAATTACTGTAAATGCTCTTATTTTGGCGTGATTAATTTCTTACGTTGAGCAAACCCAAAACGTATTCGCTGGTTCTTAAATTCGAGTTGCAACACGCATAAGAAGTCATGCTTATATTTACGTGACTTCTGAAATTCGCGCTTGCTGATCTTAGCGCGAAATCCACTAAAATTAATGTACCGCAAACGTTTCTACTTTTTACAGTATAGCAGCATTATGCCATGATTTGATTCTGATATTCATGATGCCATCCTTATTTTTTTTTGGTAGCAAACAATTCCCTGTTGCTAGACTTCCAAGATACAACAGTGGAACCAGGTGGCAGAACAGATATAATAGTGAGTCTACTTTCATTCTTTTTTCTTCTTTTTGGTTTGGTTACCAATTGTATGGTTGAGTTTTTATTCCCCCTGATGAATTAGAATACAATTTTGTTGTTAACATGATTTACCAGTACAACAGGATATTGCTTTAAGGGAACTTTTTAGTGACTAGTATCAATTTTATAACAGTGAACGTATTATGATATACATAATGCATCTTTTACTCTTTTGTACTGCATTTTCTCTATCTATTTCTCACCCAGTTTTGTGAGCTACAAAACCAGGAAAATTTGCCGATATAGCAAGTGGTCCAGACTTGCAAATATTTGATGCCACTATTAAAAACAAAATCTATAGCATTAATCTATTAAAATTTATGGAAGTTTCAGGTTTGACAGGCAATCATCATTTTCTCATCACTTTATTTCAAGGTCAAACAAAATTTGGAACAATAAATACATCATCTGCATCTTCTCAGACGTACCCCAGGGACCCGTTTCACAAAGCCTTTTTTCAATAACAAATTACAAAAATCAGTGACAAATCTGCTGATAACCAATCAGAAGCAAGGATTTCAGTAGCTTATAACAAAAACTGTCATTTGTCACTGATGACAAGTTTTGTGAAACAGGGCCCTGCACCCACTGTGGCTATCCCGCTTAGGGCTCGTCGATCACCAGCGGGCTTGCCCTGACTGAGGAATCCATTTTGAAATCTTTTATTTTTTTATTATTTTTTTTTTAAAAGTTTTATTTCCACATTAACTGCATATGAAGAGAAGTAACGCATAAACAAGGTATAAAAACATGTAAATATATTTGATTGGTAGGAGTAATGACAACAGTAAAAAAAAAAATGCAAGTAATTAAATACAAATGATGCTAACAATAATCTGCAGTAGTGAGGAGGAAACCTTGGAAGCATTATGCTTGTGATTACGGTTCCCTACAAAATATATAAAACAAAAAACGACAAAAGAAGAACAAAAACGGGTGTGTGTGGTGCATCCAACCAACGAGTGATGATAAATCTTTGCTCGTGAAGGAAAGACAATAAATCTATCAATCATTTCAGCTCCACACCCCCTCTCCCCCCCCCCCCCCGAAAAAAAAAGAAGAGAAATACACTTTATTTGAAATAAAATTAATCTATTCTCTTTCTTTGTTTTGTCAGATTTCATACGACATAAGGGAACTGGGAGACATTGTGCAAGTAGCTTGTTATGGAGCATCTGAAGAAGGCAGCCAGTATTTACAAAACACCTCACAAGGTAAGACGTGGTATGGTCTAGTGGATAAGTCTTTGGACTTTTAACCACAAGGTTAGGGGTTCACATCCCTACCACAGCACTAATGTCCTTTGCCAAGACAGTTGCCTCACTCCACCCAGGTGAGATAAATGGGTGCCTGGCAGGAATGAATTCCTAATATGATGTATCGTAGCGAGTGCTGTGCAGTATTGCGGCCATCCAACACTCGCCGAAAAAGACGGATAAGTATAAAGTATTCTCTTAATAGAAGCCAATTTTTCATGGAAAACTGATGTGTTGTGATGACCTGAAAATCAATATTTAGCAACTTTGTGTGATTATTACTAATTTTGAGCCTTGTGATTACTGATTTTCTGTTTTGGAGGTTGGCAGCTCTGTATTAAATTCCATACTCATTTCCCAGGAGAAGCAGCGATCTTCCAGTCAGAGACCAGCTCCGTCACCCTCATCCCTTCCGTCACCTCCACCAGTGATCCCCGCATCTCTGTGTTCCTGGTCCTGGGTGCGGTCCTAACCCCCGGTGAAGGCTCTATCACCTACGCTTGCTACGTGGATCCCGTCATGACCTACGAGCAGGGTCTGGAGATCTCTTCGAACCCTACTTGCATGACGCCGGACGATGTGTTTGAACGGCCCACCCCACCACCAACTCTTACAACGATTACCCCAGGTATGTCCATAATCATAATGTTGTGGTTTTTAAGGTCCTGCCAGAAAATGTTTTTGGGTTTTCCGCATATCTATTTTTATCGTTATCATGATATCTCTAGAACCATTTGAGGCAATAGGTGCTAGCATGTCTATGTATCACCATAGTGAAACAAACAAATACTCAAGAATCAGCTCAGTATCGGTATATTATCACTGTAAAAAGATATACAGGTAAGATTTGGGGTAAGTACACCAAAGGTAAAAAACCACAATGGTCAGTTGACATTGATGTATATGTTTTTGTTTTGTTTTGTAATAAAAAATTACAACAGAAGTATACTAAAGAATAATAAAAATGGAGCTCTTGAGCTGCTCTGTACATGTTTATGTGATGTAATTTGACATTGAATTCTCTGTGAATTCATCAGATAGATAATCTAACATGCTGTGATTTTTACTCCTTCCTACCAGCACCGGAAGTTACCACTGACAACACCACTGACGCAATAACTACGCCCACTACACCAGCTGCCCCTACCACCCCTGCCCCTACCACGCCCAACCCTACCACCCCCACCCAGCCCCCTACCCCCACCACCCCAGCACCAAGCAGCAGCTCCAATGAGACTACTACACCATGGCGCTTAGTAGAATCAGAAATAGCTTTTGAGGTTAGTTTTCTCATGACAGACATACTTAAGGCTCTTTTAAAGCATACCGGTACTTGTCACCAAAATATATTTCCCTCTATATATTATGGATTCCAGGTTCAATGGTTGCTATACTTTTATTTTATCCTTTCTTCATACTCCTTAAACATTTCTGCTTAGACTGCTAAGTTTCAAAGTGTTTTAGGTTGACTTTATATTAATTACTTTATTGTTGATCAGTAACTTTTAAACTCTAAAGATTATATGTATTAGGTACTGGTGGTAGTTAACATTTTTTTAATAAAGATGAAATTTTGTGAAATGTTCATAGATCTTTCTTGACCCTCTCAGTAATACTAATGTACAATTTTTCCTTTTTCAGTCTCACCTAGCTATATGAAAGACTTTCCATTACCGTCTTCTTCTTTTTTTAACATGAGTAAACACTCTTGGAGTAGTCACGGCTTATATATGATTCCGCTCCATGTTTTCTTGTTGTGTAGGAAGGAGATATTTTCAAAGAGCTCACTTTGAACCTTGATCCTGCCACGCCCACCTTCGACGGGGCCATACTGGTGTCATGTTGTGCCCCTCAGGACATTAACTCCAACACCAAATACATCAATACCTCTACCGCGTTGGTCTTCTATGCGAACGTCCAGGAGCCTAGAGCCATTAACTTTACATTGGCCACAGGTATGTTAAATTTTTATTCAGATCTGGTTATGCATGCACATGTGTAAATTTGCTAATTGGGTGTATTTGCTTTCTCTCTCTCTCTCTCTCTGTCTCTCTCTCCCTCTCTTTCTTGATTTCTTCTTATTATTATTCTTTTGATTCTTTTTCTCCTGCTCTTTCTTCTTCTCATCCTCCTCCTCCTTCTCCTCCTTCTGCTCCTCCTCCTCCTTCTTCTTCTTCTCCTTCTTTTTCTGCTTCCTAAATATGTCTATCGTTTTTGGTAGTGTATGACTACACTTTTCTTGTATATTATTCTCAACACATATAACCTCCCATCATGTAGTTAGGTTAATTTTGTAGCCTCATCTGTTCATTCCCATTGAAAGATACATCATACTGTACATGCACATCGTCTCTTTTCATACAGAACTGGCTGATCGTTTCTCAGAGTCTGCACTCCCTAACCCAGCCTATGTTGACCTTTCACCTTGCCCTTGTGACCTGACCTCAGGTCACTGTGATGCAGAATGCTGCTGCGATGAGGTGAGATAGAATTCAATATTGATGCTGCTATCTTATAATCTTTAAGATTCTTTTCATAAATTTCCTTTGACAGAGTCCAAAACTATTTTTTTTGTTAATTTGACTCAAAATTAATAAGTGCTTGGGTAGCGAGTGGATTATTTCTCAAAGGATGTAATTTATTTGGTGATTAGTGAAGACAACAAATATCATGAATTCCTACATGGATGTAAGAATTAAATGCTCAAAAATATAGCAATGCTGAAAAATGTGAATCCTATTTTAACAACTTTAATGAGTAGCATATTGATCAAACCTTTCCAATTAGTTTATGCCAACATTTAAATAAAGATTTATAAATTTGTTCACTGGTGTTCAAGATTGAACACCAGAATTAAAGGAATACGTGTCATATTCAAAATTATATGTAAGGAAACCACTGCAGAACACGGTCTGTTTTGTTTTAAACATACGTGAAAGAGTATACCATGAAGCGTTGCTTGTGTTTTATATACCCTGTCTGAGAAAAAAAGGTTTGATGTAGGCAGTATAAGGAATTTCAGAGAAAATTGTTAAGTTTAAAGTCCGCCTGTGTCATTTTCTCATGACAGGACTGTGATGCAGCAGATACTCTGGTATTCATGTGCTCCGAGGAAACAGAAGAATCTCAAGTCACCATCTATGATTGCAACAGCACAGATCTTTACAAAGCAGACTATTCACCTCTACTTTGTGTCCAAACGTCTAATACCCCGTACCTGGGTCTGTACCACAGCACTGTGTCAGCCATCCGAGATATAACAACCTTCAATGCAGCCAAGGCCAGTAGCTTGACCAGCCGCGACACTAGCTACCAGGATTCTGGTCTTCGGTCATTGGAATACCAAAGCCCAGATAACTCACAGTACAGCAATGGGGATCCAGTGGAGCTTCTGTACGATGAGGAGATGAGAGGGTTCCTTGCGCTGCCACAGATGACGCTGAGTGGGGAATGCTTGTGGACATCACCGGTCAAGTTTCAGGAGGATCTGACCACACGCTGCACGTTGATGCCCGATCAGAGGCTCTGCCAGCAGTTCTCTCCCTTCAGTGCCCTGGTGTTTCTACGATCGTCCACGGAATCTTACCCGCCGTGCCCCAAGGAACCCAAAGTAGCTAGTCAGTATGGTCAAGCAACAGAGGCCCCAGCGGATGTTGAGTATTACTGCCTTGAGGATATCTCAGACTACCTTTCAGAAGAAGCAGTTGACCAGGATCTTTTTGGTCAGTATGAAAGTTCTCTGTTTGCAGAGTATCAGAATGATACAAGTGAGGAAAAGATCCCAAAGCGTTGTGCATGGGATGATGGTTATACACAGCCACCAATACCTTCCTACGATAATGAGACAAAACTGTGCTATAGTTCAGTGGTGAGTGCAAGCTACGAGATGTTCTGGCGTGGAGGAGAGATCCTACGCATCAAGGGTCAGGTCATTCTGGGAGCTGTGCCACTCATCCAAGATCTCAGTATTGGTATCCTTGAGGAAGAGGAGTTTGTCTCTCCACCCCCTACCACAGAAGCACCTCTGACAACCCAACCTACTACAGAACTGATGACTGACGACATGAACAGTGTGACCATCATCACCGATGTCACAGAAGTCTTTGAAACAGCTTTTACCGATTTGACGGGGGCAACGGATAATATGACTATGTTTATGTTTGAGGAAGAAGCCAACACGACTACAACTCCACAGAGCACTGTGACGATGTTGCAGGGAACCACATCATCTACAACACAATCTGTTTTGACACCACCATCTACAACACCAGCCGTCACCACCTCTGTGTCAGTCACCTCACCGGCCATAACAGATGCTCCATCAAACATAACAGCCAATAGCACTATGGGTGTTGACAACATCAACGCAACCACTGATATGACCACAGAGTCGCCCGTTACTACAGCTTCACCCTCCAACCCAGTCAACACCACGCCCCTCAACATCACTTTAAGATTCTCAACCACTTTCACCTATCTCCCGGAGACTATTGTCGACCCCCTGACAGGCCAGGACGTAGACCCCCCAGAAGCCTTTGAAAGATCAGGAAACCCTGGATACATCATTGGCAAACCCCTCCTGACTGGTTTGATGGTGCAGACACCTCTGGTCTTACCCACCGACCCAGGACCGCCCATCAATTGCACAGAGTTTCCCACCAGCCCAGGCTGCATTGAGATACCTGAGAATGAAACGGTGTATGTCTTTGACAGTGTGGACACTTCTCCTTCAAATCAGCTTCAAGTATTCTCCCCAGGTGAGTGTGCTTCCAATGTTCTGCGCCAAAAATGTTCCATCAATAAATGAAGAGTTTAATTCCAAAAGGAGCTAAATCCATTTTTGTAACTTCAGAGAAAAAAGAAATTGTTTACCAGATGTTGTACAGGCGTCTATGGAAAAGTGATAATAGAAGTTGCATTTTTTCATAATTGCTCCCAAAATTTAGGTAAATTATTTTGTTGAAAGCCGGGTACTTAAGTGAACGACGTTCCGATATCAATAACTCAATTTCATCAAAAGTGGATTTAGCTCCTTCTGAAATCAAGCTCTTCAAATGTGATTTCATATTTTTGAAGCATATTCTTTCATTTCTAAATACATGTGCTTTTAAGGCTGTTTGAAATATATGGAGGTAAACTGCTTTAAATAATAATAATAATAATTGACTCTAAGCTGAGCTTGATGAGTGTTCATATGATGCATGTCATGCTATCCATATCATGTGATTCATGTGACGTAGAAGTGTCGTAGTCGAGTGGTTTAAGCACTTGACTTGAAATTCAAAGGTCGTGGTTCGATCCCCGATACGGCACTAATGTCCTTTGGCAAGGCATTATTCTTCATTGCCACACTCGACCCAGTTGAGGTAAATGGGTACCTGGCAGGAGTTAATTCCACTTCGGAATAGAATTTCTAGATAGATGGCCAATTATTATTATTATTATTATGATATGATTCATTCTACATGTATCTCTAGGTGATGGAAGCCTTTGTGCCCATTCCTCCACATCAACTCTGACCTTTGGAGAGGACACCATGTCTGGATGCATCCTTCGAATGGGCCAATCAGAGCTCCAGAACTGCTCCGTCTTGGCAGCTTACATGGAGGACCAGCTGAGGGCGCTAGTACCTGCAGATCAGATTGGAAAGAGAGGGAACTCCAGTGTGCTAGTAGAGGAGGATTGGGCCTTAGTCTTCAAGTGAGTGTGCGACTAGATTCAGCTTCTGTTTTAACAAGAGTAGTTCCCAAACCTGCGGGTCACAATCCCAAGATTATGTGACGCCTGCTTCCGTGACAATCACTCCACAGTCGATGTCTTACACTAAACATTACCTGAAACCCAATTGCTACCATGACCCAAACCCTACATCTGTGACAAAATACAGCTTAGAGCAATAATACTGTCACCATGTGTTGGAACATACAGTGGAGCATCCACTGTGGAGTTCTTGGGGGTAATGAATGGTTTATAAAGTAAATAGATCCAATTTCCATCCCTTTACATCTTCTTTACATGGGATGATTACACTCAGATAGAATTGCGAGGGGAGCGGGGGTTTGCACCAACATTTCAGGTTGGATTGTGGGGCATTTAGGATCATATGCAGCGCAAGCAAAACTGAAAGACTGCAGTTACAGCAGGTAAACATGTGCCATTAATGAAGGAATTTACATGTTATCTTATTGATCCCTGATGAAAAGCCATTTCCTTGAAATCAGCTTTACAAAATATAGATTACTGTATACACAAGGAACATAAACCATAAGGAAATAGCAGGAGCTAGATGTCTGAAGTTTCTTCAACCCATCGAACTCTGAGCATTGTCGGTATCTTACTTTTTATCAGTTAAAGTCAAGAAATAAGTCTAATTTATTAAAGGAACAAATCACCAGATTTTTTTACTAAAGCAAAAGCAGTATCTGCATATTGATGGTTCAGTGACACAAAGACGTAACTCCATATTTTGCCAAATGAGTATTTGATAGCAAAATGTTCAGAAAAATGTGGGCTTTCCAGGAAACATATATACTTAACTCCGCCCAACACCCCCATTGAAGTCAATGGCTAGTGAAACATAGACTTAACTCCTTAAGGCCCAAGTGCTCAGTGACACATAAACCACTTTTTCTCAAAATGACCAAAATGGAGTTACATCTTTGTGTCACTGACCCCTCGATATGTACAGTAGAGTGCTAGGGGTATCAAATACAGTACAACAGAAATGAGCGCTATACAATAAGCAGGGACCCTAGTTTTCAGGCAGTAGCCTGAATTCAGGCCCTGGCTAGTTATTTTAGACCATAGTTTAGGCTAATTTGTGTACAAATTAGCTCATTCTAGGTGATTTTCTCTGATCAATTCTAACTGGCATCCATGAAGGACCTGCAATAATTATAATTGCATGTACATTTTCATCTTTTTTCTGTTAGTCCTGACGATCACCCTTTTGACCCACCTACAACCATGTCTCCAACCACCGAAGCTCCCTTGGAGACCACGGCTGATCCCTTCACAACACTCTTCCCTGAGCAGCGTTACGTGGACCCGGAACCCCCTATCCAGCCGGTGGAACAGCTCACGAGCAGGTGTAGTGGTATACCTACCAGTGTGAATCTGGAAGTGCTCATTGCAGAGGCGGGGGTGTACAGTGGAGTGACGCAATATGAGGTGCTGGCAGCCAGAATTCAGTAAGGAATAGAGCCACATGGTGCTTTGTTTGATTAATTCTTTGCATCCTTCATATGGAGTTGAAAATTCAGCACATTTCATTCAGGTTGAAAAACTTTGAAAGTTGCCTGAACATTTTAGGGTGGAATATGATTATTATCCATTAAATTTTTATATAAATCTGTTTATTTGATGAATACATAGAATAATGAGAAGTAGTTTGGGAAAAAATACCTACTGAATAAATGCAATATGTTTGTGAAGTCCAATAATCCCTTTTCTGTATGCTGGGGAATTTTGGAATGTTATTTTCAGCAAGATTGGGTCAATTTCTTTTAATTTTGATTGCATAAAATCCTCACAGTGTACATCAATTATTATGTTCTACATACTGAAAATCCCCAGAAACTTTCACTGTATGAAACCTTCGCAAGGGTGGCCATTTTCACGACATGAGCTGTCACAAATTGCAGAAAATTAATTGTTGTCAGTTATTATTATTGATTCATGTTCTTCATGATTACATGAAACTGTTGTGAACCTGAACAACTCACAAAATTCACAAACATGTTGTGCACATGAAAGATTCTGGTTGTACAGTTGTGATCCTTTCCCAATTGCTTCCAGAAAGTTTCTTTCACTGATCACTTTCTAGTACATGTACTTAAAGATAAAGTTGAGTTCTGGTCATGTGATTGCATTGTGAAAGAAAGGTTGTGGAATTGATCAGAAAAGGTTGATCATCTAGCATAAAAGTACTGATGTTTATGGTACTGCAAGTTTCTGGAATTTTACCCAGTCTTGGTAAAGTTACAAACACTGTAAACAGAAAGATGTATATGGGACTACACAAACATGTGGCATAAATATCTGTCCCGATTTTTATGATGTTACATGCCATATTTAGAATATTAAGGCATTTGAAGAGCCATGCTTTTCAGGGAACATGAGTTATCTGATGTTCTTCCACACTTGCATAATACAATGATAACACTCACAAACTATTTTTCGCCTTTTCCCAGAACTTAACCTTCTCTTAAACTTTGTCCTGAATTCTTCATCGTGTAGGTACAGTACTTCAATGATGACTCTGACCTGTTCAGGTTCTCTAGGGGCAAGCTGCTACCTTGAGGACCAACCCGTTGTATCTGATCCTGCAGGGAACGGTACAATCGTCCAATCATTCCCTGTCTACAGCACAGTGACATACACAACAGTCCCTGCCGTGGAACCAGAACCAGTTATATTGTAAGGACTCATCTTGTTTTTCATTGCATTCATTCCTTTTTGTAATGCAAAGTATAATAACAGCATAAAGAATATGTGTGGCTGTTTAGTAGCTATTTGCTAGCTCTTTGTTGTGGTCTTATTTTTGTTAATGTGTGTTATTGAGCTAACTAAAGTAAAGAATGAATATAATGCATGACATGGCACCAACAAACTTGGGGTCAAGATGTCAAAGTTCAAAGGTCACAGGGCTCATTATGTATGCAAAAACAGCTAAAAAACACTAAAGAAGATTAACGTCATGCCAGTTCACTGCATGATCACAACACAAGACATGCTGTAAGGGGGGTGCATTGCGTGCATTTAGGACGGACACATATAAAAATCCTCTAATTTCTGGATATGGAACCAACTTGAAACTTCTATCAAGACGTCACCTACTTTGAACAGTTTAATTAAACACACTCTAAAAGCCTTGTTATCTGCAGATGACGTGTAAGTGAACTTCTTTTTTTTTTGGGGGGGGGGGGGTTCGTGCGAGTCTGACTTATTTTTCCTATTTGCAAAATTATTCAATTTGGTTGACATGGTAAACTTTATATAGTATCCATTTTCAGCTATCTTGTAAACAACACAAGTGTACATACAGTAAAGAGCAATCGAAGGTTAATATGTACAGTGTATATAACAATTTTTTCCCTTTTTCTTTTGCCCTCTTTTCTCTCCATTTTCTCTTTTCCTTTTCTTCCACCCTCTTTCTTCACCCTCTCTTTTTCCTCCCCACCTCTCTTGTCCTTACTCTGCACCCTCCATCTCTCTCCTTTTCTTCTTCACAATATTTCTTATTATTATCTTTGCATCATTTCTCCCCATCTTTCTCTCCCATGCTCTCTCATGCTCTCTCTCTTCCTCCCTTTGTCTCTCCCCACCCTCTCTTTCTCTCCCCTGCTCTCTCTCTCTCTCTCTCTCTCTCCCTCCTTTGTCTCTCTCCCACCCTCTTTTTCTCTTCCCTGCTCTCTCCATCTTTCTCTCCCCTGCTCTCTCCATCTTTCTCTTCCCTTGCTCTCTCTCTCTCTCTCTCTCTCTCTCTCTCTCTTCTCTCTCCCTCCCTTTGTCTATCCCCTCCCTCTCTTTCTCTCCTGCTCTCTCTCTCATTCTCCCCTGCTCTCTCTCTCATTCTATTCCTCCCTTTGTCTTTTTCTCCCCTGCGCTCTCCCTCTCTCTCTCTCCCTCTGTGCAGGTATTTCAAGGACTATGACCCTGATCTGTGTAGGCAGGATGCGTGTCTCTCTGAGCTCTTCTATCCAATCTCTAAAGGGTTTGATGGGGACACCTACCAGTACTCCATAGCCATATCCTTGGTGATTGTTGTCATTACTGTGGCTTATTTTATTGTGACATCACCTTGGGCACACTTATGATGAAAACTCAAGAGGGTAATATTCTCGAAAGCGGACTAACTTTAGTCCATGGTTTAATCCACCGACTAAGTATGAAATGCCAAGTGTCAATATGAATATGTTTTTGAATAAGTTAATCTGTCACTAAATTTATATAAGATGTAATATCATAATTAATAAATAACAATATAACTATGATATAATTATGTTATCATGGTAATTTAAGGACATATCAAATCATTCAAAAGTATATTCATAAGGACACTTGGCATTCCATACTTAGTCGGTGGATTAAACCATGGACTAAAGTTATTCCGCTTTTGAGAATACCACCCATAATGCTCTGTTCAGACAGGACGCTATAAGGTGCCTTCCAAAAAAAGATTCAGTGCCGAAACTTTGCTTGTAAATGATGGTGATGATCCAAGGTTTGCTCCTGTGACAATAGCTACATGTAGGTTTAAGGTTGCAATTGTGTTTTCGTGGTGTGTGTGTCAGGGTGTGTGTCTGTGTGTAGAGTAACAGATATGAGGGAAAACCAAACATGTTTACCGAATTGAGTTTTGGGGGAAACCCCTTTCAGTTTGTGCATGAGGTTGAAGTTAGGAATTCAGTTCGTGTAGGAAATTGATACAAATCAGTTATCACAGAAGCAAGTGACGTAGAACCAATTATAACAGGGCATCTTCGTCATGTTTTCTTTGTCCAAATGTCTTAATTAGCTTGACATTGTGATATTGTTGAGATCCTACTAACTGTAAGCAGGTTGCTGCACCATAGGTTTACATGTGGAAAGTTTGTATTCTTTGTATTCATGCTCATTGCAGCAAGATTACCCTGTAATTATCACTCAGAGCTGAAGATGTGATCACCTTGATACATAGATTTTAATTGCTTCAGCTTTGTTCGTTTTCGAGGCAGTTGGATTTTTAAAGAATAGTTAGTGTATTCAAAATGAGAGCATTATGTAATTTTTAGGGGGAAATCACACAAAGGCAGTACCTGTATTCAATAGTAGGAAGTTTATGTCAAATACCTTTCTGTATATAAAGAAATGTGGAAATTCTTTATGTAAATAATGTATTTAAATTAAATTATGAGTTTCAATCTTTGTAAAGAATGGATCAAATATGTATATACTTCATTGTGTTTGATAATAAAATGATCAGATCATTTTTTCAGTGAAATATTGTAACTCTGTTTCTTTTTTTGTCACATTTCATCAATTTGAAAGTATACATATATTACCCTTATCGATTAAGAAGATGGTTATTCATTAATGCCATTGAATTAAATCAAAAGTTACGTATATTGTCCAAATTTTAGGAAACGCACTCGTTGATTCATTGGCAATAATACAATAAGTGGACATTAATTAATATAAACCTGAATATACAGACTTATGGTGAAAATGTGTGAGTATTATTAAGCGGAGGTGAGATAGATGAGGTACGTGTAATAGATATTTTGATCTGTATGTACCGAGTTTCCTCTCTATAGTATACACTTATACATATATACTTCTATAAGATCATATTGCAAATTAAAATTCACTCAACATGAACATTTTCTCATACTTTTTTTAAGGAACCCATAGAATGCCAAATAAGGTTAGGTATTGAGTTTTATGTGATTGAACTGTATAATTAATTTGACTAAAAAATTGAATGGATTTTGTAAGAAATCAAAAAACAGAACTCAAGAGGCTGACATGTCTGATAGTTATATCTTTCATAAATAGCTTTTATCTTTATATTTAGCTTATTTACAGAGATAAAGATCAAATTAAATTTTACATATTTACAAAGAAATATACAGACCTCAAAAGCAACGGACAGCATATACATTTTTTCACTCCAACACTAGAAAGAATATGGCTATACTAGCAGTACAGCCAATTGACTTGTATTTTCAAATCGAGAGGAGCATATATTCTTCAGATTAAGTATTTCTCCCCTTTAAATAAATTTTGTTTATTAATGCTTTTTACATAGAAGTTTCCAGAACAAGCAGAGATTAAGGGTTCATAGCATTAGCTTGGAGACCCAAAGGAATAAACTAACTTCAGAGCATTCAGGAATGTACAGTGTATGATTTGCAGGAAGTACTGGTAAACTTAGTTCTGACAAAAAGAAGACCTTTTTTGGACATTGCCAGTTTGAAGTATTTCTTTGAAATTCATTTTTTATCCCTCTGTCTTGTACATCTAGCCAAGAGACCTGGGGGTGTTTCACAACGATCCTAGGTTGGACTTAAAAATTATGAAGAGCCATTTGTAGTCTTGAAATCAAATGTTTTCAAAAACAAAAACATTAAATCTCCTTAATAATAGGAAATATGATTTGAATCAATGTTTGATGCTTTTTAAAATAACTTTTACAAAATATTTTCATAGATGCTACAGCTTTCCATAATTGTTAAGTCCAACTTAGAGGTAAGTTCGACTTAGGATCTTTGTGAAACACCCCCCAGGACACGAGCACAGCAATGCACCCTCAGTCATGAGGCAAAATGTTGAAATTTTTACTTTAACAAGATTACAGTTCATCTGATGTAGAAGAAAACAAATGTCACCATGTGGGATCATCAAATTCTTCACTCGACTCTATCGGAGCAGAATACAGCAACTTCATCTTCTTTGTTGATCCCTCCACTATTTTGGAGATTTATGGAGTCCAACACATCTTCATTCTGGGTGCAAAATTTATAAATCCATTTTTACAAAGAAAATAGTTCAACTGCTCTCTTTAAAAAAAAATCTCCTCCTCATGTTGGGACTTCAGATTTGCCTTCCTCACCCTCATGAATGGTAGGCGTAGCAGCCGGGGCAAGCTTAGGGATAGACTCTTGGGCAGTCTTCCAATGGACCAGCTCTAACTCGACGGTGACTGTCAATGGGGGAGGGGGCGGGGGCTTCTCGTCTTCATCCTCCCCGGCGAGGGTGACCCCCGTAGTGGGGCGCTTTGCTCCCTTGCCTCCATCCTTCTTGGCATCCTTGCCGTCCCCCTTGCCTGGTTTCTTGCCTAGGAGTGAAATCAAGTTCAAATGGAGTGATGTTCTTGCAGTTCTTCAATTTGTAGGTGTATAAAAACTGATCAGTAACAGTTACACAGACTGAAAGGATAATCGAAGCCCTTTATATAGCAAACAATGCCTAATCGGTGACCATTGGTCCCCTTTTTCTTATGTTAATTGAGAGCTGATTTGATGAGATAACCACCTGTCGGTGACCATGCAGGGAGGTCTAATCCCTCCTGGCCAGACTAGTGTAGAGGGGCTTTAAAGTGTTTTATAATTATAAATGAGCAAGTCCAAGGTTCATTTGCTGTCCCCTACTTTACCAAGAATAAAGAAAAGTAAACAAAATTGAATTTCGCAAATGTTATTATCCATGTTATTTGGTCTGATCCACGCTCCTGTATCATAATGGCTGTCAACTAAACAGAATCAATGGGTTCACTGAACATTTTAATGATGTCTAACATTTGGGACAAAATACCTGGAATTTGCCTACCGATATGAAACAATGCTTGGTGAAAAGACCTTTGAGCATCATAATATGAATGAACTATGGACACAGAGCTCCATCCCTTTCTTTCTCCAATTTTTAATAAATTTGTTCACACTTGCCCTCTCCCCCCCCCCCCCCCCCCCCCCCCTCCAAAGTCTTTTATGTATTTGGACAGCATGATAGACAGGAGCAATGCTCGCCATTTTAAGAACACTGTATCTCTTTGTCATAAAATATAATAACATCCAACAAAAACCTGCTATGACTCACCTTTTTCTTTGTCTTGCTTTGCATCTTTTCCTTTCTTTGCTTTCGCTGATTCACCTCCATCTTTCTTCTTTTTGTCCTTCATCATAAAAACAAAACAAAATTATAGAGCACATTAAGAAGCTGTCATCATTTCACACAGGAAACATAAAGAATTTGATTCTTAGATCTTTACAGACTTCTTGCGGTCAACTGATGGCTTGCTCCTTCTACAAAGAAGCAGCTTGTTTGTAGAACACAGAACACAGAAAGTGTTTGCTGTTCAGTAGTTTTACATGTTAATGTAAACCTTGTCTAAGCCTTTTAACACTGGTATGTAATTCATATACTATTGTAAACTGAATGTCTTTCAGACTTAATGTTCAGTACCATACTTTTAAATACACCATTCAATTCTATGAAATCTAGTTTATGAAAAATGACATATTTCCAGGGATAAAAAAAAATGAAATAATTCTTTTCTAGTGAATAATAAGTGCAATTCTTGCAGATTCCTACCTTTTTTCCATCCGGAACTTCCTCTTCTTTCTCTTCCATCTGTTGTGCAGCCAGGGATCCACCCCTACAGATGCAGACTTGTTCTATCTTTGTTTCTCCGTTCACAATCTCCGCCATCTCTAGATGATATGACCCTAGGACAGTGACCTCTGGAGGCATGTGAGTCAGCTCTATCTCCGGCTCTTTCTTTTTCTTCTTCTTCCCATCATCTTTAGCTGCCTGAGGGAAGGAATGAAAAGCATGAGCTAGGGAGGGATGCACTGTGATAAAATATTTGTTATAATAATGAGTGGCCTTAAGTGGGATACAAAGGTTTATACAACACCTACGTGAATCCTTGTCATTCGATAGGAGGATTGTTAGTCACATGATATTCAATAGATGTTATATTGCACAGACGTGCATTTTTGGTTATATTCGCCGTACATTTTTGGTTATATGTAGACTGCGTACCTCTCTGCCAGGCGCGCGCGTATCCCTGCGTGTATCGGACGCGAAGGCAATCTGAATGTAATCGAGAAGGCTTGACTCCAACTTTAATTTATCTATAATATAAGGAGTAAAGCATAATTTGCTGATTTGTCTTACATGTTGTATAAAACAAATAATGAATGTCTTTCATTCGTTCAATAGTGCGAATATTTTCATTCGTTGAAAGATTAACGTTAATTCTATCATAACCATTCATTATTTGTATAATATCCCACAAGCTGATGAGAATATTGCACAACTTTGCATGCGATATAACCGTGTCCCGTGAAACTAATAAACCTCAATTTCTACAAAAACATCCTTATATTTTGTCCTCATCCAAGCATTTTGCATGGGTTGTGCGCATACATCCATCGTCAAATAGCATTTGCAAATTTAAACATGCATGCATTGTTTTACGCATTTGCATAGCCCCAAACCCTGAAATACTGAAACAAGTTTGGACAGTCATCAAGGTATACTTTTACACAAACCAAAAATATTGTTTAAATGTGCATGGTCATCCAGGCACTTTTGTACTTTCTCCGTTTTGTTATTAATTTGTAACTGTGGTTTAGGCCATTATGCTCTATTATATATACCTCACTTAAGAAATCCAGCCATCTGATTGGTCGAAATTGCATTCATAAACTTTAACTATTCCTGTAAAATTCCCAGTAAAATTCCAAACCCATGTAATAGTTTTAAAAAATAGTTCTAAAATGCCAGTAACCATGGTTACCCATAGGTTTACATGTTAAAAAATGGTTTGAGCGATCGAGGATAGCGTACGTGTGTGAAGAATTGGTCGGTATTTTCATACAAGACAAGACAATTACAAACAAGACTAAAATGGCTAAAGAAACTCTCCCAAGATTTCAACTTATCAAATGCAAGACTCGCTGACAGCAAGAACAACAAAAAGGGTACGTGAAATTATCCATAAACATGTTCGTTTAGTTGCTGAAAATGGAGTACCAGCATAGACGTAGACGAAAATAGATCTAGTAGTCAGGGTGTCTGATCGTGCACCCGATGTTGTGTGCTGAAATTCTTCCCATAGAGATTGCACGCAATGCAGTCTCTATGCAGTCTACGTGCATTGCGCAACCATGCAAAAAAAGTCAATTTTTTTTTTTTCAATTTGAGATTCAAACCTTTATCTGTTGTGATCCTGAAGGTGATACTCAATAAGTGAGGTGTCATATGAAAGCGCAGGTTCTTCTCCATATTTCCCACAGGGCCGGCCCACCCCCAAAATTGTAAAAATACCTTGCTTAGACTAGAATCTAGATCTAGTCTACTCTCAAAGATACACTCATAAAAAACAACCGTGCAGATAAACCAGAGAAAGGCCAAGGTGGTGTCATTAGTTGACTCTTTTGTTTTCGGCATATAAAAGTATTAATGACTGCTTTAATATTCGAGAAATAGTTGTTTTTATACGCTCTCGGGAAGGTTACAATTCTAACCTTCCCTTGAGCGTATAAAGACAATTATTTCTCTCAAAGCAGTCATTAATACTATAGAATAAACCAAGTTAAGAAATTAGGACCATAGCTTCTACACTGACATCATCTGAGCTGGTTTTTACCTTAGCATCTTTAGCTTTGTCCTTGACCCCACTAGCTCCTCTCTTTTCAGGTTTACCTCCATCCTTCCCTCCTTTCTTGCTTGTCACGCTCGCTCTTCCATCATCCTCAGCTGGATAAGACAGCACCTACGTTTAAAATCAGTCATTAGCATACAAAATGATGCGAGTTTTAATTCGTTCAGTATACGATCTATCCACACTCAAGTTGAGGATGGGTGGAATGGCATTACAGGGGTCATTATTGAGGCAAGTGGATAGGAGGTGGTGCAGCATCACCTTTATAATGTCTTCTCTCTTTTCTCCCTATTTTCTCTCTTTCTACTTTTTTTTCACGACTTGGTTCAGGGGTGATAGTGAGCACTAAAAAAAATAGTTTTTTTTTCCTCAACCACCCCCTTGAGTAAAAAAATTAAAAAGGATTTGCGGGAGAAAAAAAATGGCATCTAACAACATTCCCCCCTTTTTGAGTAAGAAATTTGGGGGAAAATTGGGTAAAATCAAGAAGAGGAAGAGAAGAAGAAAAAAAAAATTGGGAAACTGATTTAAATCGGGTAATTATCAGGCCTGTTGATTGGAGGGGCATGTGCCCCCCTGTGCCCCTAGGTAGCTACGCCATTGACATACCTTATCCTCTTTGATATCAATATCCAGGCCTTTCTTGAAGAGTTCCTTCAGGGCTGGTAGATCATCAATTTGAATCTCCCTCTCATACACCAGCTCCATCCCTTCTTCTGCCCAAGGCAGCACATCAGTCCTGTAGGGAACCAGCTTGAGTGGTTGCTGAGATGGGGTCGTCTCATCCTCACCAGTCTCCTCTTCAGTTGCCTCCTTTTCTGGTACTGTGGCTGCAGCGTCGACATTGTTGGTTTCTAACAAAATTTTAAAAAACAGAAATTCCCATTTTAATTCTTCATACATCTACTTTGTTCACTTGCAATAGAAATTACT